GATGGCAGCAGCCGCATCGGCGCGGTCAACTGTGGCGACAACCTCCACTTGTGTCGGCGCAAAGGCATCAACAGCTACCCCAGCCTCTACATCTTCTCAGCCGGACAGGTCGGCGCCGCGCTCGTTTGCCAGGGAAATGGATGGCATCATCCGCATCGGCGCGGTCAACTGTGGCGACAACCTCCACTTGTGTCGGCGCAAAGGCATCAACAGCTACCCCAGCCTCTACATCTTCTCAGCCGGACAGGTCGGCGCCGCGCTCGCTTTTCCGTCGGTCCTCCTCGCGTCCTCCTTTTGCCCTCACAGGGCATTTTGGTGTCATCCGTCAGAAACCGGAGAAGTTCCACGGCGAGCGCGTCAAAGACGATCTGGTGACCTTCAGCATGCGGTTCATCAAGACCAGCGTTGTGCAGCTGCGGCAAGGTGAGCGACCCGCCCAACGCGGCGCGGGCCCGCCGCGGAGCCATCGTTTTGACGGCAGGCGCTCGGGTGTCGTTGCTAGGCGACGTGTTCAAAGAGATGGAGGGCACCTTTGCGCAAGGCCTGAGCTGGCTCATCACTTTCTGCGCCGACACGGGAGGTAAGCGGCGCCCGCGCGCTCCGCGCCGACCGATAACTTGACCCGTGCTGACAAGGCCCCTCCGCCGCCCGGACAGATTGTCTGGAGCACAGGACCCGACAGAAGCTGGCGTCCATGCTGGTGAGCATGCCGATCCCTTCGGAAGCGCCGAATGCTGAAATGACAAATGGCGAAAACGATTCGTGCGTGTTTGCGTAGGACGGCCTGGTGAGGGTCGGCTGGGTGGACTGCAGCGCGCAGCCGCGGCTCTGCCAGAATTTCCAGGTGAAACGCATGCACAGTTGCAAAAAATGATGACGAGTCATCGAAAATAACAGTTGGAAAAATGCAAGTTGCACAGTATTGGCCAAATATGCTGTTGACTGTTGCAATGTGGATCTGCTTGCGATATGTCAAATGTCCACAAACACAGGACGGACACCTTTCTTTTCTCATGAACGAAAGAGAATGTTTTTCAGGTGGCTTAATGTATTCTTATCCAGTTAAGCTGTGTTCGAAATGCCCCGAGATAGGTTTCTCCAACTGGATGGCGTTGAGCAAAGTCGGCCAAAAGCATCCGATGCCATGGGAATTCATCAAAACGCCTTTACGATACGATGCTCGCACGTCCCGTGACCGCGACAAGATATGGTTTCCCCCCCTCTGTTGAGCAGCCCGAATGAAAACATTTGTTTGCCGCCGGCAGGTCACTGGCGGAGCGACTGCTCTGTTCCCGCCGGGAAGTGCGCTGGATAAGGAAGGCGGCGTGCTGGTAAGCGTGACCATAGCGCGTTAGCATTAGCGCACGTGTGACTGACGCGTCTTGTGCTTGCAGTGGTTGAACACTCTGGACAGCAGGGAGATCTACGCTCGGGTCCTGCGGCACCTGCCCGACTTGGAGCTGCTCACGGCCGACAACTTCCACGTAAATATCAAAGCGTTTTGACGCTTGTCAAATTGAAGCCACTCGGGATGCTCCCATACCGCTTTATTTTCAAACCGATACAAGTACGTACTTGGGAGTAGTCCCCAATACTGTGTGTCAGCAGCCTTGACGAGCGCTCTATTGTCTTGATACCCATCGAGTGTCGGTGGTCTGCTGTCTGCAAAAGTCACACTTGAGTGACTAAGTGACTTGCTGTCCCCAGCTGAAGTTGGCCCGTCATCGCTGGTTGATCTCGTTCACGTTTGGAGAGCGCGGCCAAGGCGCGGACGAGTACAAGAAGCTGCGGGCCTTCCTCCGCGATGACCACATCCAGGTGGGGCTCGACCTTTGTCACATCGTCAGCCTGCGAGTGTGACGCGCGTGTGTGGGGGGTGTGTGTTTAGGTGGGCCGGGTAGACTGCCTTGTGGACTTCCAGCTGTGTCAGTCCATGTACGTCCACAAAGCCTGCGTGGCCGTCTTCAAAGGCCTGGGCGTCCACGACTTTGAGATCCATCACGGTCAGTGGTCTTTTTTTTCTGTTTTCCTCTGTTCCTTTCACGCTCGTCATGACTCCTCCCCCCGCAGGCAAGGACGCCGTCTACAACATAGTGGCTTTCGCCCGGGACAGCGTGCGGGCTCACGTGACCACTCTGAGGCCCGACAACTTCCCCTCCGACAGGAAGGAGCCCTGGCTGGTGGACTTCTTCGCCCCCGTGAGTCTTCGTCGAACAGCGGGCGAGCGGGGAAAAAAAAAATGCAGCGGCACAATTGAATGTAAAGTTGCCCGCTAGGAGACCATTGCAATCGAATCCGGCCCGTCATCTGTTTTGAGACAGCGGCCTGTTTTTTTTGTCTTCGTGCTCGAGCGCCGAAGTAACAGGACAGGATATGTCCGTGCGATGAGGGCAATGGAAGATTTGTCCAACGCTATGTGCTTGTGCCGTTGTTGCGGTGGCGCGCCAGTGGTGCCCGCCGTGTCGAGCTCTGCTTCCCGAGTTGAGGAAAGCGTCCATCCGGCTGGCGGGACGCGTCCGGTTCGGCACCTTGGACTGCACCGTCCACCTGGACCTCTGCTCCATGGTGAGCTTTTTTTATTGACCAGAAGTAACAAATGATTTCAGGAATTCACGAACAATAGTCAAATCGGCAGTTTTGCGCCTTTGACGCCGCCGTTTTGGTATTTCTTTCAATCAATGGTTGGTTTCATGAAGACGTGCCCTTGTGGACCTTCCCGTCTGAATGACGCTTCTGACGCGTTTTGTTTTCCACGCTGTCGCCAGTACAACATCGAAGCGTACCCCACCACCGTCATCTTCAACGGCTCCTCCGTTCACGAGTACGAAGGACGACAGTCGGCCGACGGCATCCTGGATTTTGTGCAGGTCCGACCTCCCCCCGTCCGTCTCCGTCGTCTCCAGATGTTGCTCATTCTCGCCCGTGTTGCCCGCAGGACCTGGTCAACCCGTCCGTGGTGGTTCTCGATCCCTCCAGTTTTGCCGAGAAAGTGACAGGCGAGCGCCACGCCGCCTCATCCGTCTTCTTCGGCTTCCTCGCGTCCTCGCCTCACTTGTCGTTGTCTTTCAGATTTAGGCCAAGGCGAAATGTGGGCCATCGATTTTTACGCACCCTGGTGCGGTCCGTGTCAGGCTCTGCTGCCCGAATGGAGGCGCATGGCGCGGGTAACGGACGACACGCGGGCGCACAGCACTGACACACACTTTCATGCAGAACTAACACACATGTGCACGCGCATGCAAACAGACACTGCGGAAAGACACACACACACACATGCACTGTCACGTGGTACACACACACACAAGTACATAGAAACTCGCACCCCGGCGCATCCAACACACACACACATACGCACTTGGACTTTGTGGCGTTGCTTGACATTGTGTGTCGTGTGCGCGCAGATGTTGTCGGGCCAGGTTCTGGTGGGTTCCGTGGACTGCCAGCGCTTCCAGTCGTTTTGCCAAAGTCAAAACGTGCGCTCGTACCCCGAAATCCGCCTGTACTCGGGCGGCGGCAGGACGGCCTACCGCCACACGTAATGCGCTTCGGCCGGACACGCCTCGCTCGCGCCCAAGCGCGAGCGCCTACGACGCGTGACGTTGTTGTGTTTTTGTGTAGGACTTATAACGGCTGGCACAGAGACGCGCACACGCTGCGAACGTGGGCACTCAGGTAGGCTCGCGTCCAAATGATTCCTTTTGAATCCATTTTTCATCTCAAACCTATTTTTTTTTTTTTTTTTTAATGCCCCCGATCAACTCAAATGAATTTCAACATTGATGGCTTGACTGTCCGGTGGATGCGTTGACGCACAGCGCGTTGCCCCGAGCGTCACTGGATCTGACGCCAAGCTCCTTCCGCTCTCTGCTGCTGGAGGGTCACGACCCCTGGGTGGTGGACTTCTATGCCCCGTGGTGCGGACCCTGCAAACACTTTGCCCCCGAGTTTGAGGTTGTGGCTCGGGTGAGACTCGCATCTTCCTATTTATCCGCTGCCCCGTCCCCAAGAAAAATGCGGCCGTGGTCTCATCGCCGACGTGATTGACAGGTCCTTAAAGGGGAAGTCCGGGCCGGTAAGATTGACTGCCAGGCTCATTATCAGACCTGTGAATCAGCCGGAATCACTGCCTACCCCACGGTACGCTTCTACGAACCAGACCGGGATGGCAACAGGGTGAGGACACGCCCGCCCGCACGCACGCGCACAAACGCGGGCACGCGAATGAACCACGGGACGTGTGTCGACAGCGCCCGCACGGCGGCGAGAGCATCAACAGCCGAGATGCAAACGTGATTGCAGACGTCATCAGACAGAGACTACAGCGCTCGTCGGGACGCTTGCACAACAAGAAGGTGGGTTACTCGACTCAAACAGATTTCTTGAGCACTCTGTATACAGCCGCCGCTGTATACCGAGTGCACGTTGAAAACGCTCGGTGTTATGCGCTCCCTCTTACCGGAAGCCGTCAAGAGGTGAGATGCAGCATTCTGAAGCAACCGGAGACGCTTCACGGGGGGCCGGCCGACTCCAAAGTCGGGTGCGTTACAGTCACCCGAAACGTGATGACAACCACCGCGGGGCGCGCTCCGCAGTGAATGCAACCCGCAGATTCGAACCTATTAAGACATGTCAACCTTTTCTTCGACGAGTATTTGGTGGCATCCGGTTGAAATTATGTCACATCAATGTCACATCTGATGTCAGCTTGATGCGAACGTTGTGGGGAAACGCCACGGGCAACTTGTATGATGTCAAAACACCCCCAAATGTGAGTATGACGTGGACGTTGTCCCCTCAGGATGAACTCTGACGAATGGGATCGGGTCGAGCCACAAACACTACCGAGGCACAGAAGACACACTGGACTCTTGGCATCAGCTACTTCTCTGCCTTCTTATCTCTTCCTTTTTCTTTTTTTTTTTTTTTTAACATGGACGTCTCTGTGATTGGTATTTACTCTGTGAGATAAAACTAGGAGACGCTGTTACACACACGCACGCACACACACACAATAATCCTGAATGTACGCAAATAAAACCAAAATATTCCTCAATAGTCCTGTCGTCATCTCGGTCATGATGTCATTGAGCAGTGACAAAAGTGTCCCAACATGTCGGGTAAGTCAACTTGTTTTGATTCATCTTCTTTTTTTTTTTGGTTTCCGTCATCGCGCTGAAGTCCAAAATGTGAGCGAGCAGCAGGTGTCGCTGTTGCTGTGAAAAGACTCGCATCGACACGCGTGAAACCTTGGGAGCAACCTGACCACTGCTTGTGTGGCGTGAGTTTTTTTTTTTATATTGATTTGTTTCAACTGCGTTTGTGCTTGTGTCCTCGTTGTGTCATTTGGAATGTGTGAGTGTGACACAGTGGGCAAAGGAAACCGAACTATGAACGCCGCCCGTCAATCCCGAAGCAGAAGGGGAGGTTTGAGGCCTCACGCCTGGTCAGCCCGAGCGCAATGTCCCGAGGAACGGACGGATGGCGAACCGCAGCCTTTGGTCCACATCCCCCTCCGCACCTCCGTTTGGAACGAAGACGCCGTTTTGATGAAACGTGAGAGGCCGTCAACGAGCGAAGAGCGCTCCGGTTGCCTTGATTCAACTTTTCAATGCAAGCGAGTCAAAGTCGGCTCTCGTTTGTGGACTTGGCCAAAGACAACCTGAAGCTCGGTTCACGTTGTGTGCTGCCGTCTAAAGCAAAAACAAAAACAACCCAAGTCGTCGTGTCTCTTCGAACCTCCACGTAACGGCTACGCTTCCTCTCTATAAGTGCCCAAACACTTTGTGGAACCTGATGTCCACCATGAAGGAATTTGTTTGGGGTGGGTGGGGGGGGGGGGGTTTCTCGTGGCTAATAGTGCGTCGCTCATGTCTTCGGACAATATCCTGTTTGTGTGCCTCGATAGAAGCTTGCGAGCAGCAGGGACGGCCTGGGCTTTCTCGGGTGCCAGGCGGCTTTTGTGTGTGTGCGTGTGTGTGTTGATGTGAAATGGACACGCGGACGAGCAGGAGCGGGATGAGGAGGCGGCACGGCTGGAACTCCCCAGAGAAAACATTTTCTCTTCCATTGCGGGGCCAAAACACAGCTGAGAAAACACGGTGGAAAGTGAAGGAGGTAGGAACCGTTGGACTTGCGCCCATACACACACACACACACACGCACGTTTGCGTTTCCTCATGTCGGCATTTGAAATGTGTTGGGTTCAAATCAAACACAACTTTTTGTTTGGCTTTTATTGCGTTCTTTTTTTTTCTCGCTTTACTGGTAGTGGACTTAAGCTTTTGGGTGAGTCTTCCACTTTCCGCTCACACACAAAAGAGAATGTTGTTTTTTTTGCAGTTCATCTTGGCCATCTGTTTAGCATTTAGGGTTTAAATTTGGGAGCAAAGAAATCTCCAATGAGCTCCCTCGGAACTGGGTCTGTAATGGCCGTGTCAAATCAAAACGGCACGCGGGTATCTTTTCAGGCTTTCGCGGGTCGATACTCATGATAGACCAAATTTCACGTGGAATTGGGTGTGGGGGGCCTACTGTTCAAAAGAAGTGAGTTGACAGACCCCCGAAAATGGCCAGATGGACGCCGGATTGGTTGCTTGAATCCCAAAAAGAGAGAAACCAAGTACAATTTAAAAACAAGCTTTTTTTTATTATTTTTATTCGTTTCATCAATTTCATTCGGTTCTTCCAAAGGAACCACGTCGTCGTCACATGCGATACCGAATCAAATTGAGAGCGGCGCAACGAAAAAAGTGAAAAGTCGGCTATTGTTGTTGGCTGATATTGTTCATGTTGCTATGATGACCGCGGACCTATTGCACTCGTTGAACCTGCTCTGCCTTTTGCCCCTTTTCTTTGGTTCTCAGCACGAGGACAACAAGTCATGGACGTGAGTGAAAAAGCGCAGAAATTCCCTTTATGCGGGGAAAACAGACCAAATGGAAGCCCAGATCCCTGGTGAGAAGCCTCTCGCCCGCACAACCACACACACACACACACACACACACACACACACACACACACACACCCCCACAAGCAAACCTTAGCAGACAGCACTCACAAGTATTTTCTCTCTCTCTCTCACACACACACATACACACACACACTAAATGTGCAAAGATAAATGAACTACATTGTGCTACCTGTGATAGTGCAATATACACACACACACACACACACACACACACACACACACACGCACGCCTGGTTGGTCCCATCTCAGTGGCGACTCCTGCGATGAGCTGCTCGAGCTTTTCCCTGCAGGATCTGATCCCAACGCTACACACAGAAAAGATGTCGGCATTAGAGGCGGGCGGCAATCAATTGAGGAATCTGCTGGATAGAAAACATCTGCAGAATTCAAATCGCATCTACTGCGAGTCGGGTGGGCGTCACCGCGCTTTGAAAATGTCTGCTGACCTTAACTTTGCGTCCCATCTTGTCCTTCCACTTCTGCGCGATTGAGCCGTCAATCAGCAGCAACCTGCAATGCGGATAGGCCCCGCCCCCCGGCCGCCCCCACGTCAGCCACTCGCCATCGCCTCGCTAAACGCGCCGCCGTAGCGCGCCTACCTGGACGTCTCCTCGTTCTCGTATCCCATGATGAGGTACTCGTCTCCGACGGTGACGGGCGGACACTGGCACGAGGACGAGTAGTGAAGGGTGAGCGTCTCTCTGGGGATGTGCACCAGCGAAGACTTGAGGACCTCGCGAACCTCCACCACCGCCGTGGGCTCCATGCCCCGCGTGCGCACTTCACGCACGCGGGCGCGGATCACTACGCAAATCCCCCCCAACATATCAAAATCAGAATCATCTTTATTGGCCAAGTATGTAGAACACACACAGGTTGAAAGACACCTTCTGCATCCAAAGGGTGAAAGAAAATCGTCCAAGTGGCAATATTGCCACATGAACACTGCACAAAATCGAACGGCATGCGATCACATCCCGGGACGAAGAAGACCCGTGCGCTCAAAGGGCGGACAAACTCTTGTGAAAGGCAGCGACTCCCACCAACGGAGCACTTTCGGGACCTCCCGAATGGCGTCCGCTCATCCGAAGCAGACCTTGCTCATGGAATCCCACCGAGTCCCATCAGAGAAGGAGCAAAAACGCCATCGGAGTCTGTGGACATCATCTACTCCTCGACACCCGCATGGGAAAGATGGGAAATATCCTCAAAGGTCCCGGAGCCGCAAGTGGAGAAAGGGACAAGCCGGAATGTGGAAACTGTCGGGCCTATCTCACTCCTACCAACCGCCGGCAAAGTCTTCCGGTCCGATCTTCGCAGGTACTGGCTAAATCTCGGCGCGGCTCCCGGCCATCCCGGGGGGACTTGAACATGATCCCCATTGCGAATGCTGGACACATTTGGTTCTACGCGCGGCCTTTCGGCACCCGACGACGGCGTTTTGATGCGTCGACCGTTCGGCCTTGTCGACTGTTCCGAACCACCGACGGTATCGGCCAAAATACCGTCTTCATCAAAATCAACTCACCGTAATTGTAGTTGTTCTTCAGGTAGGTATTCAAACCCATCTTGACGGTCTTACATTTGCAGCGATCTACACGCGCGCCAGGAGACACGGAGAGCGTGCGTTAGCGGCGGCGGCGTCTGTCGGCGGCTCGGCCTCCCGGAAGCGCCACTTTACCGACGACTTCTCCTCTGCAGTGAAGGTTGCCGGCGTCCAAGGGAAAGTCCGGACTGGACTCTGTCAATCAAAGGAGAAATCCGTTTTGCGGGGTGCCCGGGTGGCAAAAATGAGCGTTTTGGACTTTTTGGAGTGATGACCTACCTGGGTTGCAGCGAGCCGGGTCCTGGGAGTACGGATCTGCAAAGACACCAAAGCGCACCGCTGAATGGGACAAACGGCCAACGGCGCGCCGCTCCTCGCGGCCAGCGCTCACGCTCGTTGGACGACATGGCGTCGTTCCCTTTGCTTCGAAATGCTCTTAGCTTGAAGCCAACGTTTGCCAGGTCTTTTTTCCATGACCGTATTTTTGGAAGACCTTTTGGGTGCATTTGGTTTGAAGGCCAAGCAAGATCATGTCACTTTTTTTTTGTTTCTTTTTTGCTCAAAATATCCTCTTTTGCGGTTTTATACGTGTCGTGCTCAAAAGGTTTGGGCAAAACGGGCATACATTTACGCAATGTTTTTCAAAGTGTGTTCCATTCATTATTTGGTACTTTATCCATTTTTAGATTTCCATTTGTAGTTTCATCAAGGAAATATGAACCTTACCTTGTGTGAAAAAAAAAAAGGATTTTGGGGCGAGGTCAAAATTTCAATTTTTCTTTTTCACATTTTAACAGAAATATTTATTATTATTTTTTTTTTGCAGCGTGGTGGATGAAATTTTTTTTTTACAGTCGTTTTTAAAAAATTGTACATTTTTTGGGGTGGGGGTGAAAATAGAATTATTTATCCTAGACATTGTTTCAAATATCTTTTTGTTTGAGAACAGTAGAAACCATGCGATTTTGGGGACATTGTTTTTGCTCACAGCATTTTTTTTTCTCGACAATTTCTTTGTTGGACTCAAACATTGGAGGAGGGCTTTTGAAAATCATGCCTTATTTTTTTTACAATTTTTTTTTTTTTTTGGTCTGCGTGTTTTTTTGAATTTGAAGCTGCGTTTTTCCCATCTGTTTTGCGTAGGAGTTCGTACCGGCGGCGTCGGCCTTGACGATGGCCTCGGGCGAGATGCAGACGCCGCGGTCGTAGAGGGGCAGCTCGCCGCACTGGAGGCTGTCGGGCCAGCTGTGGTTGTAGCGCCTCATGACGGGCTCGCATCCGCGCCGGGCGCGCTCGCACACCGCCTTGCACGGCTTGATGGGCTCGTGCTGGAAGTCGATGGTGCAGATGGGCGCGTACATGGCGCACAGGAAGAACAGCAGGTCGGCGCTGCAGCCCGTCCCTGCGGAAGGTAACCGCGACACACGTCACCCACGGCCATCGGAAACACTCGGCTCGAGTCGCCCGGCGGAATTTTGGCACATGAGGAGGGCGAAAAAGGGCTTCCCGTGCTCCGAGGCATTTCCCACGGGCGCAAGCGTGAAACAAAACGGAGCCATTGAGAAAAGAACGGTCCTCGTTGTGTCATCGGACCTTTCAAAAAAAGACTTTGTAAACAAAGTCCGGTGTGGCCATCAAAAGCCCTTTCTCAGGATTGGCTTTGTCGGTTGAGATGTCACGAAGTTTAAAAAGCAATGCGCCCAAGTCACTGGTTTGCTTGACACGTTTCTCTTTTGCTCTGCTTTTTGCTTCGAAACCGCTGTTTTGGGGGAAACCGACACAGATTCTCCCACCGCCGACTCAGAACGGAGAAAGTCAAAACCAACTTTTTGTAGGGGCAAAAGAGCACGAGGCTTGGCTTTGAAATGCAAAGTGGCCACATTTGGACATCTGGCTGTTTCTGCTCGATGCCAACAATGTCGTGTGACCGAACAAAACGGTCTGGAAATGCTCCTAAATGGCAGCGGGCAATACGGGGGTGGGGGGGGGGGGGAGTGGGGGCGGCAAAAAGAGTTC